ACAAAAGTATATTACAAATAGTTTTAGTCCAGGGTACATGCATTAACTAATGTCAGACCTTACTGTAAATTATTACCGTTGTTCAAATTTAAAAATAAATAATTGCACTATATTTAGCGCCAAAGCGTAACAGAAGAGATCCTGACCAAATTGAGTGTGAACGATACCTTTAAGTTTTGTTTCTAACCACACACCTTGTTTCATCTAAAAACAAAACCCACAAAAAAGCTGTTGTAGCTGAAAAGTGCTAATGCTGGGAATAAAACCAAACAGATTTATTGTACAGGGTGGGCAATTTATATGGATACACCTTAATAAAATGGGAATGGTTGGTGATATTAACATCCTGTTTGTGGCACATTAGTATATGTGAGGGGGCAAACTTTTTAAGATGGGTGGTGACCATGGTGGTCATTTTGAAGTTGGCCATCTTGGATCCAACTTTTGTTTTTGTCAATAGGAAGAGGGTCATTTGACACATCAAACCTATTTGGAATTTCACAAGAAAAACAATGGTGTGCTTGGTTTTAATGTAACTTTATTCTTTCATGAGTTATTTACAAGTTTCTGACCACTTATGTCCAATGTGCTTCCTATTGTGTTGGATTGTCAATGTAACCCTCTTCTCTCACTCTTCACACACTGATAGCAACACTGCAGGAGAAATGCCAGCACATGCTTCCAGTATCCGTAGTTTTAGGTGCTGCACATTTTCTATCTTCACACCATCGACAACAAAGATAGTGGGGCCATTCTTCATCAATGGAAACCTCAAGGCCACTATATATTTGAAATTGCAGTTTCCTTCTTTAAGCACTGAAGCTGGCATGTTCCCTGAGTTTTTTCAGCAAGATGGTGCACCACCACATTATGGGTGTCAGGTCCGAGCATTCCTAGATGAACAGTTTCCTGAAAAGTGGATTGGTTGCCATGGGCCAGTTGGATGGCCCCCAAGCTCTCACGATCTTACCCCCTTAGATTTGGGGTCATCTGAAGACAATTGTCTATGGTGTGAAGATAGAAGATGTGCAGCACCTGAAACTACGGATACTGGAGGCCTGTGCTGGCATTTCTCCTGCAGTGTTGCTATCAGTGTGTGAAGAGTGGAAGAAGAGGGTATCATTGAGAATCCAACACAATGTGCAGCACATTGGACACGTTTTATAAGTGGTCAGAAACTTGTAAATAACTCATGAAAGAATAGTTACGTTGAAACAAAGCACACCATTGTTTTTATTGTGGAATTCCCAATAAGTTTGATGTGCCAAATGACCCTCTTCAAATTGAAAAAACAAAAGTTGGATCCAAGATGGCCGACTTCAAAATGGCCACCATGGTCACTGCCCATCTTGAAAAGTTTGCCCCCTTACATATACTAATGTGCCACAAACAGGACGTAATTATTCCCAACATTCCCATTTTATTAAGGTGTATCCATACAACTGGCCCAACCTGTAATTACTGTTTTCAAACACGTTTCCCTAATCACCTCAACTTGACAACAGGACCAATTAGTGATCTAAAAACGATGTACGTGTGGCCAGTGCGTAACACAACAGATGACACTAGATCAGCCTAGAAATCAAATCCAGCCTAAACTATAACCTGCTAAAATTGTTCACTGAGAAGCTCCAACAAAACGGCAAACCCAGCATATCCAACTCAATCTCTTCTCAACTTTTTGATTTAGTAGATAATTTATATAACTTTGTACGATCTCATTCGTACAATTTAGTACGATTTGCTCATCACCTAATGATGGTTGGGTTTAGGGGTGGGGTTGGGTGCCACACCTTCTTTTTAAAATCTTTTATTTTCATATGACTGAACTCATACGAATGAGCCACTAAATTGGCAAAACGTAAAACACTTATGCTTTCTGGTGAGATCAGATCACATTTAGGCAAAATCCACAGACAGAGCAGTGTTCAAAGCAATGCCCTTTTTAAAACAGGACTGGATCAGATTTAACAGATAAAACTTTATGAAGACAGCAAATTTATGTGAACTTGAGCGTAACTTTTAAAAACATTATGATATTCATGTAAACTTAGAAATACAGGTATAGATATTCCAACAAAATATCACAGTATAAGCAAATATAAAGATAAAAAAGAAGAACCAACTGAAAACAGCGTGTCAGGGTTAGTTCGCCCAAAAAAAAAAATGTTGTTATTACTCAACGTCATGTAGTTGCAACACCCAGGAACCTTCAGTCATCTTCAGAACACAAATAAGGATATTTTAGATGAAATTGGAGAGCTCCCTCAACCTCCAAATGACGCAATGATCTCGAGATGTTCAGACAAATATAAAAATACTGTCAAAACATTCCATGTGACTTACTGTAATGCCGAGTTCAGACTGCATGATTTTCAAAGTAGTTATGTCGCAGATGTTTTCACACTGCATGACTATCTGGGCTAGCGTTTTGTCGCTGCTTTATTTACACTGCAAGTTGGATCGGCAACAGGGAGTTTCACAATGCATGACCTTACAATAGGAAGAATCGCCAACAACTGTTCAAACTACATCTCACAACCAAAAACATGTAGTATATCGTTTGTTATTAACTACAAAACGAGAAAGAAGCCTTTAATGGGTAGAAACTGTACATACTCACTTGGGTTTAAAGGGAATTTGCAATTTCTCCTCAACTTTTTTCTTTTTTTGACCCGGTTGCTCAGATCACACGTCAAACAGACACAGCTGCTCCTGCCAAACTTCCACTAGTTTTTCCTCCATTTCTTAGGTCCAAATAAACTGAAAATGAACGCTTTTAACTTCTCCCCCAACCTCTCGCTGGCCTGCAAATTCCCACGCTCGTGGATGCTGCTTTCTCATTGGCTGTAGACGATCGCGGACGTTATTTTCAGTCAAAACTAATTTCGCACGGCATGATTTGAATCGCCGACAGCTCCAGATATTTAGCACGCCAAATATCTCACAGGCATCTGCGACTCATCGGCGATTCTCTCAGATCGCGTCTTTGATAGTTCATACTGTGTGATTATCACTCACGTGCACGAGCACCAATTTGCCTGTGATTTCAGACATTTGTGGGTGATTTCTCAAAACTTGTCGGCAAGTCCAAATAGGGGCTAAAATCATGCAGTCTGATCTCGTGGGTGTTTGAACTTCCGGGAGACTTGGGATGTCTGAATATCACGTTTAACAAATAAAGTGAGACACGATCCAGTGGTACATCCTTTATAAACTGTCCGACGTGCACTGCTCTGGAGCTCAGAGGAGCGCATGACAGTGTGTGGCTGTGTGTGTGTGGTCATGTGATGTGTTTTCAGCGGACAGAGGGCTTTTCAGAAATGCTAGGTAAAACACGATGTGTGTTGATCATTTTCGTTCTATAATGGCATTTTAACACTAAGGGCCCTACCATACACCCGGCGCAGTGTGACGCAAGGCGCGGCGCAATACTTGTTTGCTAGTTTCAGCTTGGCGCAAGAGTCGTTTTGAGGCGTTGCGCTATGCTGTTTAAATAGCAAATGCATTAGCGCTCATTTGTGCGCTCATAGGCGTTCTGGTCTAAAAAGGGAGGCGTTCTGAGGCGGACTGCTGGCGCATTGCTATTTTGAGAAACTATAATAGATTTTTCATTAGACCAAAACAAACCCGGTCTAAACTCCAGCGCAGAGTTGTCTCGCTTACGCACTGCTTAATACCCACAAGAGAGCAATAGGCAAATATCTTCACATATGAAAAAATGTAAATATGAAGGATATATATTGGATATAATAAGAATAGATATAGGATATAAATATAAAGGATTAAAATATTACAAAACATATTATTTTCTAGCCAACATAAATATGAAAAACCACTGCTTTTATGTCTTCTTCATCTCGGGAGGCTTTTTCAGTTCATTTATAACAATTTGCTTTTGTATAATGTTGTTATTATTAGCAGTATTATTTATTATACCCATATTTATATTTGTTTTATTAAAAACAAGCTTAGATTTGCCCACTTGTCAGGTTTTAGACCATATGGGGCACAGCATGTGTTTTAGGATATAACTCAGGTTTTTGAGCACACTTCGTTATTATTGTTCATTTATTCGTTTGCTGGAAATTAGAACTGAATTTAGAAATGGTTTTGAAACAAATACTTGCGCTTAACAAACAAAAGTATTTATTTATAGACTAATTGATGTCTGTGCGTAAAGGTTTCCTTATCCAAGAGCGAATGTGAAAGTAGATCCATTATCTCTCATTCTCACGCAGTAGATGCTCTGTTTAACAGTTTTCTTGTGAAATGCTCATTTTTTCCACTTAGACTTACTTTGCGTCCTGTAAATAGCAAATGCGATTATGGTGCGACGCAGCTGCTCTTAAAGGGAATGGGAGATGAGACTCTAATTGGTTTAGTCTCAAAACACACCTATAACTCATTAAGAAAATAAACTCAACCCTTTTAGACCATGCGCCACGGAGCAAAGCAGGTTTTTCCGTCCTTAAATTAGCAAAAACGCGTTCTGACATGCCCTGAAAGCGTTTGCGCTCTGCGCATGGACCGTCAAAATAGAGCCCTATGACTTATTAGTGTAAACAGGGCCTAAGTGAGTACTTTTCGCGAGAGGGTTTGCAATGGGGGCGGGGGATCTGCAATGTCAGCTCAGCATCGTGTTGTCTATTGGCCATCGGCGATGGATAATGGCATCGTCTTTCGGCCCAACCCTATTGTCAACATAACTCACTGGAAATCCAAAATACTTCCACACTGGTGACTTCCTGCGTCTGCAGTTGCCATGCTGTCTTTCGCCCAAGCTGACATGACATGAGGGTGTGGCAGCACCGACGATTCCATTTCTGATTCGATAATCGACATTGAGCATGAATTGGAATCGTGACACCCTCACTGTCTATGCAGGAAAGGGTTTTCAAAATATCCTAATATGTGTTCTGAAGATGAAGGTCTCAGGGGATTGGAGTGAGGCGAGCGTGAATAAATAACTATTAATAACAAATCCTTACAATTTAAACTGACCTTTAAAAAGTACTGTTTAATTCAGTGTTTCTCAACCATGTTTCTGGAGGACCAACAGCTCTGCAAGTAGTTCATGTTCAGATCATCAGCTCATTAGCAGAGACTGAAAGACCTGTGATGAGTGTGACAGACAAAGCAGACCTCCAAAACATGCGGTGTTGGTGGTACTACAGGAACATGGTTGAGAAACACTGCTTTAATCCACTTATTAACTGAAATAGAGACAAATTTAGAAGAGATGAGGCATACTTGTATGATTCTGCACACAGATTCAGCCAGAACTGACCAGAGACATCACACTAGAATCTCTTTCCATTTCCCATTCACACTTCAGCAACTTATATTAATGATACAATTGATATTTTATCAAAGGATGACCAGACGCTGTTACCATCGAAACAACACACAGGCTTTTCTAAACCTGAGACGAGGAGCAGTTGAACTGAGACTCTCATACAGTGGTCCCGAACACAACCCCATCTAATTCCTGATCGTCAGAGTCGTCCTCGCTGAGTGAGAAGTCTTTGTGGTTGGAGAGGCGGCTGGGGCTGCAGTTGGACTCTCCGTCCGTGAGCGAGCTGTTGGTGGTGGGCTTCCCCAAGTCACTGACCGGCCCCATTCTCTCTGCCTCAGCCATCTGGGCCAGCATGCTGTCTAGCAGCGGACGGCTTTTGCAAATGTTGTCCAGTAGTTGACATCTGTGTTGTAACTGTCCAATCAGAGAGTCTTTCTCTTTAATGGTTTGGTTGAGTTTATGAATGGATTCCTCTGATTGGCAGAGCTTCTCGTGGAGGAAGAAGATCTCTCTAAATGAAAAAGAAAGAAGTCATTTTTAATCAGCTTACTGTGCGCCATATTTGTACAGTGCTTCCAGGATAAATGTCATTCAACTGCACTAGTCAAGACTAAGGCCAATCTGAAGATGCTGGATTTCAGCACTGTGTACTGGTGTAGTAACGAGCAAACAAAGAAAACAAAGCACAAAGGCAGAACATTACATGGGTGAGATTCTTTTTTAAATGTTTTTGTACGTTACGAATTTGTGCTAAACAGGAATCGTTATTGATGATAATACAGTGATTACAGCACTGACCATGAGGCAAAGTAGCACCAACTTGCACAAAATCAGTGGCGTAGAGGACGGGCCCGCAGGGCACGCACCGGGTGGGGCCCGTGTGATTAGGGGGCCCCACGTCGTCGCGATTTTCAATAATTGAAATCCGGCAACCGCAATAATCAAACTCTTGGGAACAACTGTGGTCAGAACCAAAGTTCACAGGTCTGTGTTGTCTAAATTCCTCTCAGCTCATACCATAAAGTTGACTTGATTTTAACTCTCCTCGACGCCCACACAGGAGAAAACGCGCCGCGCTCTTCCTCGCTGCAGGTTCTCGTTAAAAATGAATGACTTCTGGCTACTTTGACGCTCTCGCTGCTTTCGGTTTGTGATCGCTCGTCAGTTTTTGAAGGATTCCCCGCGTTGTTGCTCCACCCCGCCCCCTTTCCCGCTCCTCAGTTTGTGATCGCTCCTCAGTTTGTGATCGCTTCCCCGCGTTGAAAACCCCCTCTCCCCCCACCCAACTCTGGGGGCCCCGTCAGTGATCCCTGCAGGGGGGCCTCCGCATTTTGCGCTATGCCACTGCACAAAATACTTGGCTTATGCTAGTTTTGTTGAATAAAATAAGCAAACAATGCAAGTGAAATATGACAACGAGACGCTGCGGTGTCAGAAACTTGTATTACTGTCGGCTAAGTGAACAAGTCGTTCATAACGGGGATTCATTCACAAACGAATCGCTCCCTTTGTTAGAATTAGAAATAAAAGCAGGAGAGATTTGTGTTTCAGGACATGAACTACATCAAACTTAACCGGTAGGGTGAATAATACATTTCCATGCACACAAACACAGGCTCTTTATCAGCAATGTGGTCACTTATCCATTGATGTATAAATGTGATGTAAAACGATAATTTTCGGAATTTAAAAAAGTATTTGCATACTGACCACCGGGAAAACATCAGATGTATATATCTCTGGCTTTAGATGGCCAGTCCTCCACTGCACCTTGGTTCCACATTTATTTAAAAGGAGCGCTACCCTGTACTAATATGGCAGCTCTATTCCATTCGCATTTCTTCCAATAGAAAACAACAGCGTAGGTGACATCTAATGTAAATTTCTACGTAATTTTCTAACGCAGCACGTTAACGCGATAACGGCCCACCAATATATATATAAGCATTCACTTAATGTCATTATTTCAATTTTGGCGGAAGTGGCGTTTAGCAGCTTATGCGTCTGAACTCTTTATATATATATAGATTTTTTATATATTGAGTTCAGACGCAAAAGCTGCTAAACGCCACTTCCGCCAAAAATGAAATAATGACATTAAGTGAATGCTTTCAGAAATAACAGTTTGTTGGCAAAAGCTGCTAAATGCCACCTGCCTTTAACAGCAAAAGCCGCTATATCTTGAAAACCAATCAGAAGGCGATTTCGATTTTAAAAGATGGAGTCAAAACTCTGTGCATTATAAGAAAAAGAAAACAATGTACAGTCGGAAGTGTAGCATGCATTCACAATAATTTTTTGTGCAGCGGCGCTACTTTGAATGAGTCCGATTTACCATACATTGAACAGCAACTCCATTTCACGAAAGAGTTATTGCTATGAGGATAAACAGGAGACCAAGACCTTAAGTATGTTGAGAATGAATGAATGAATGACAGCTTCAAAAATTGTCTGAGAGACATCCCTTTTGCCCAGTAGGCTTACCTTGTGTTTTATTTGCTAATGTAAGCTATTTTTAAAAGATAAATATAATGTATAAAATTATACATTATTATATTACTTCATAATACCTATACGTCTGCTAAGCTTTTTATATTCATGGACAATGCACAGATATTGTCGTTTCAGTTTTTACACTACATTATTTGAATTCACCAAGCTTCGTTTACAATGTTTACATTGCTCTACTTACATTAAATCTAAATCCCAAATATCAGAAATGACAACAGATTGTTAGGTTTTAATGTTCTTGATTAATGCACTTATTTGACAGATTTCATTCATTCATTTTCCTTCAGCTTTTTTCCTGGTTTATCCCAGTGGAATGAACCGCCACTTACTTGACAGATTTATGTAATAATTTTTGGTTGTTTGTGTAATATGTGTTTTATGTTTGTTAAAATAATTTCTAATTGCATCTTTAGTGATTTTCAACTAATTACACTGGCTTGTCCCAATAGGTGGATTTAGAGGGCTTTGCATAAAAGCACTGATGAATTTTGACGCAAAATTTACCTTGTTAAAAAACAAAGAATTGTCTAAAGTGACATTTTTGGGAAAAAATATTTTATTTACTAGCTAATAACATTTTCATTACATATAATATGACACTACTAAACCTAATTATATGAGCCTGTTAGAAAATGGTCATTTACAAGAAAAGAGGTCTGATGGATTTAGAGGGTTTTGCATCTAAACTCTTCATATATATTTTCCTTGGCAGTGTGGTCACCGTTTCTCTTTAAACCATCAAAAGATATATAAAAAAAAATCACTTCGTAAACCACCAAATCGTAACCCATTTTACTTATTTTTACGAGTCTATTACAGCCCGGAGCTTTTCGATTTAGCACAAATGTCAACAAACAAATCTATAGAGCATCTACAGAAGGACGCAGCTGAGTACGAGCAAGTAACACCCTCTTTCCCTCACTTGTCCTTGGCCTCCGTGATCTCCTGCGTGGCGGCTCTGAGCTGCTCGTCTTTGCGGATGAGACTCTCCGCCTGCTCCCGCACGGTCCTCTCCGCCTCTCGCAGCCGCTGCTCCAGCTCCGACACCCGGCGGTGCAGCGCGGCCAGATGCGCGTTCGCCTCTCGGATCTGCACCGGAGACGGGGACGACATGATGTCCGGGATGCGGAAGATAAAAACACTCTCATCCACGGTACGGGCTGATCATCTTCTGCGGGTCGTCTCGGAGGTTGAACTCTCCCTCAGTCTCAGCATGCGTTATGCTACAGCGTGCGTGGATGGATGTAGTCTTCGGTAATTCTCTGCGTCTGCAACACAGTGACAGTCGACAACGCGGGCTTGGCGCAGCTGGTACATTTATGATTGTGTCGTATAAACGTGGGTTATGCAGTTTGTGTATGTTTTTCCGTCCAGCTGACGTGTCATTTGCACCAACTTCATAGCAACCTGTAGCTGCTGACCCGGAAATGATATTTACAGCAACTGACCAATCAGAGTAGACGATAGACAGCATTGATCAAACTGCACTTTAGGTACCAAAATAAATGAGCTTCATTTGACTGTGTAGTTAATATACCATTTAAGACAGTAAACAATTTTTGGTTTATGTATTTGTTTTGTTTATTTCATTTGTTTGTTTCTTGATTGCTAATTTATATCATGTCTCAACCAATGACTGTAAAAAATCTCAACATTGTCTCAACTCTGTTTCTCTTGCTCATAGATATATACATTAGATGTCGCCTGGCCTATTGTTGTCTATTGGACGGAATGCGTCAATAGCGCCGCCATCTTGGTACAGGGTAGCGCTCCTTTGAAATGAATGCGGGAGCAAGGTACAGTGGAGGACTGTGGCCATCCAAAAGTTTTTATGCAGCGGATGCCCTTCCAGCCGCAACCCATCTCTGGGAAACATCCACACACACATTCACACACACACACTACGGACAATTTAACCTACCCAATTCACCTGTACCGCATGTCTTTGGACTGTGGGGGAAACCGGAGCACCCGGAGGAAACCCACGCGAACGCAGGGAGAACATGCAAACTCCACACAGAAACGCTGACTGAGCCGAGGCTCGAACCAGCGACCTTCCTGCTGTGAGGCGACAGCACTACCTACCGCGCCACTGCTTCGCCAAGAATATGTTTTATTATATAAACTTGTTTTTTATTTTATTCACATGCTCTTATAGGCCTATATATAAGATTTTGTCTGCATATTTAAGTATATTTGTTTTGTTGTATGAATATTAAGGACTTTTGAATTTGTTAACTCAAAGGTGTTGTTCAGTAAAAACAGATATCATCACTATTTCACACAGCTTCAGCTTTAAATTAAACACACTGATGTGTTGTGTGGAGTGTGGACACCCGTGTTCACTGAGCTTCTACAAGATTCCCTAATGTTATTTAAGTATTACATTTTAAAGGAATGCTAAATATGATTATGTGTAAATCCTCAAATGAACTGAGGAGGGCAACATCACACATGTAGCTGTCTAGTGTGCCGCAAATCTCAAAAGAAGAAGAGGAAGTGCGAGAAGGAAGAGGTCGAGAAGAGACTCTCGCGACACCTCAGTCGTGTCCTTGATGCGCTAGCAGAGATGGGCTACTGGGATCTAGAAGAGGGCAAAGACTGCGTTGCCAAAACATGGGTCACCACGAAAGTGGCCACCGTTGTAGGTTAGTCTGAAAGATATCTAAACTGTGATCGATCATTTGAGCTTAGTTTTGAACCTGCGCGTTGCTTATGCAGTATAAATGCTATGTTGTTAGCATGTGCATTAGCCCTTTAGTAAATAACAGTGTAATGTTACTGTACTGTTATGTGGTAATTATATATTTCCCACATTATTTAAATATATTAGGTGTTTGTTTTTTATATCGTGCGGGTTTATTGGTTGTAGTTACAGGCTATTCCCCTGTGCTAATGAATTTACCGGTTGTTTGTGTCCTGGTTCTCGAGCTGTCATTAGATTTTGCCTGATTTAATAGAGGTAAAGTTGATTTTATATTCGCACATTCGTTTATTTAGAAGTCTCTATATTGTTTACCATGTTACTTTAAATATTCAAGCGGAATTTTCATGAATGTGTGACTTGAAAACAACATTAATACTGTTTATTTGACTGTAAACAATGTTGTACTTTGATAGTCATTTGCTGCCAATCTGATTTCGCTATTTATAGTTTGCAAATAATACTTTCATGAATTTATATTATTAAGAGGAAAGTCTGAATGTGTGAAAATAAAATCAACTTTACCTCTTTCCTGATTTATATATTGCTGTTGTCTGCAGGACTGGTCGCTACTGCCTACCGTATGGTGTTATTTAAACCTGAACCCCCTCTTCAAGCTTTGACCTCAGCAGCATCACTCACTGGCACCATGGGTAAGATCCAAATAATAACACGATGCAAACCTATTCATTGTCTGTCATGCTGAGCTTGGAATATATCTTTATAAGTTTGACCCTAAAAGTGTTTAAAAGCTTTAACAGCATGGCTACTGTATGATTTGAAAATTTGTACTTTGTTGTGTTTGATGTTGTTTAGTTTACACCACCCACATTTGCATTAAGGCGAATTATTTTTTCCAAAGGGCTAATTTTAGAACTACACCATTATCTGCAGGTTTTTTTTTATTTATCTTTACGGTTAGATAGAAAACTCACTCACTTTCCCTAGCTTAGTTCCTGATTTACCAGGGGTCACCACAGAGGAATAAACCATCGATTGCTCGGTTTACACTCACCATGCACTTTATTAGGTACACCTTACTAGTAATGGGTTGGACCTCATTTTGCCTTCATAGCTGCCTTAATTCTTTATGGCATAGATTTAACAAGTTTCTAGAAGAGATTTTGGTCCATATTGACATGATAGCATAACGCAGTTGCTGCAGATTTGTGGGCTGCACGTCCATGATTCGAGTCTCCCGTTCCACCACAACGCAAAGGTGCTCTACTGGATTGAGATCTGGTGACTGTGGAGGCCATTTGAGTACAGTGAAATCATTGTTATGTTTAAGAAACCAGTCTGAGATGATTCGCGCTTTATGACATAGCGTTATCCTGCTGGAAGTAGCCATCAGAAGTTTGGTACACTGTGGTCATAAAGTGATGGACATGGTCAGCAACAATACTCCGGTAGACTGTGGTGTTGACTCGATGCTCAATTGGTACTAATGAGCCCAAAGTGTGCCAAGAAAATATCCCCCACACCATTACACCACCAACAACAGCCTTAACTGTTAATACAAGGCAGGATGGATCCATGCTGTAAATCGTAGAGATGGTTGTGCGTGAAAATCCCAGTAGATCATCAGTTTCTGAAATACTCAGACCAAGCGCGGCTGGCACCAATATCCCTATATTCAAAGTCACTTAAATCACCTCTCTTTCCTATTCTGATGCTCGGTTTGAACTGCAGCAGATCGTCTTGACCATGTCTACATGCCTAAATGCATTGAGTTGCTGCCATGTGCATTACCGTGCAGTTGGACAGGTGTACCTTATAAAGGACTGCTTGCAGGACATCAGCGTGTAGTAGATTTCCATATCTGACATAAAGCTGCTTAAAATCTCTCAAAAGTGCTTTAGCTTATATCAAGTTTGTCAGTTTGCAAGGGCGTAGATTTTCTTTTGATATTGGTGGGAACTGAATTTGAGACAACATTGTACAATCTAAATGTAACTTCACATTTAAAATGTAAAGGAATGTCTGACAAAAGAGTAGGGTAATAAAGACTTCCATTTACTGAGGGCTTATTTGTGCATATTCACCTACCATCACATCAGAACACATTTTTGCAAGTATAATATTTACATTTATGCTCTTTTAGCTAAAAAGACTTTACATGTCCATGTTCTTTTTCTTCTCTGTGCATGCAAACAGAACACACATCATGTTCTATTTCGCACCTAAAATATTCAAATAAATAAAATATGATCATTAAAAAAAACAACATCATATAGAAGTAAATTTACATGATTTTACTTTGACAAGGAATGAATGCAGACTTCTGGAAAGGGAGAGGCATATGACACAAGAACTATTTTATCTCGATTGTTGTTTTTTCGTAATTTTCATCTAGGCCAAAATCTGAAAAAAATTTTTATTAATTGCACATCCATGGTTACTATTATGGTGAACTTGTAGCGAACTTGACTTCAAGTGACTGACACTTTTCTTTGAAATGTAGCTTCTTATGCCGTGTCTGGAAATTTCTTTGCTGACTGAAAAATTACAACAAGGCATTATTTTATTTTGGAGGTGAATCAATTATTTTTGGGAACATTTTAATAATCTGTGGATATCATTGGGGACACGTCCCCTCCATCCATGCCAATTCTAAACCCTTGTCTGTTTGACGAACATTGTCATTTTGTACGAACCACCACCCCCCCCAAACAACTTTTCCAAAAAAGTGCATTAACATAGGGTAAAGGAAACCA